CTGCCAGCCCACCGCAGCGCCCAGGGCCTGAGCGAGGCCTGGCAGATGGACTGAGGGCTGAGGGCGAGGGCGGGCTGGATGCCGGTGGCGGAGAGGGGGACCCCTGCAGTCCCTCAGAGCCGGGCTGGCATCACGGAGCCCGCAGAGAGACGCCAGGGGACCTTTCACCAGCAGGAGGCAGTGAGGGTCCAGCGGGAGGGTGAGGCAAAGGAAGCCTCTGCGCAGGCCAGCCAGACCCCAGAGGGGCAACACAGGCCTCCCCAGGCAGATGTCACCTTGGGGCACGGCAAACTTTTATGGAGGAGAAAGAAAAAACCCTGGTTAAAAGGAAACAGCAGCCCCAAAATGGAGTCCATTATGCTAAACCCACAATAGCAAAGCAAGACTCAGTACCTACTCCAAATGCAGCTTCAACCCTCCCAGGAACGGAACCTGTAGTCAGTCAGCCTAGTGGTCAGCCCGGTGGGGGGATTCCATTCCCCTGAGGAGGTCGCCTTGCCTGAAACAACGCATTTTTGGTAATAAGTTCCTTTTTCTACCCTGTTCTGCCTTTAAAAACCTTTCCTTTTCTACGGCTCGGCAGAGCTCCGCCCAGTTCACGAATCAATGAATAAAGACAATTTGATCCTGAAATTTACGCAGTTGGATTTCTTTCTTTCTTTTTTTTTTTTTTGTGGTATGTGGGCCTCTCACCGCCGTGGCCTCTCCCGTTGCGGAGCACAGGCTCTGGACGCGCAGGTTCAGCGGCCACGGCTCACGGGCCCAGCTGCTCCGCGGCATGTGGGATCCTCCCGGACCTGGGCACGAACCCGTGTCCCCTGCATCGGCACGCATACTCCCAACCACCGCGCCACCATGGAAGCCCTGGATTTTTGTTTTTTAACACCCTGATAAGAAATTGGGGCCTGAATTTGCCTAAACACTCACCCCCAAATGCCTGACTTTGAAACCATTTCCCATAGGGTTAAAAAAAACATCCTGAAATTGTGCCCCTCAGGGTTAAAAGAAACTGGTGACTAACAGAAATTCTTGACCTTGTTATAAAGAACAGCAGGTAAGAACAGCTTGTTAAAAACTCCTCCACTTGTAACCTGCCTGCACGGAGCAGGCTGGCTGTAATTATTTCTTGACTCCGTAACCCCCACTTTAGATAGATAACTCTGCCGTGTGCTGTGGGTCACTATAGTAACAGGGCGATGGGCTTAAGTTGTTTTCCAGGAACTTGAATTCGATCGACCCCTGTCCGGTTCAAGCCAGCTAAGAATGGTTGGGACCACCGACCCTAAAACTGGACCTGTGCAGGTGTGCAAGGAACAACATTCTGGCATCAGAGGGCCGAAAACTGCACCCTCAGACGATGCTAAGGGCCCCCATGTTCGAACATGCATCCCATGAAGAAGCATGTGACTCAGACACACGTGCACAGAACCCCAGTCACCTCCACTTCTCCCCACCTCCAATCAGCCTGCCCCATGCCTAGGAGCATCCTGCTTCTTTATCCCATAAATATCTCGAGACCCTCGCATTCAGGGAGGCAGAGCTGAGATTTGCTCTGTCTCCTCGGTTGGCTGCCTGGTGAATAAACTCTTTTTCTCTGTTGCAAACCTCGCCATAGTCAGGCAAACGAACCTGGCTTGGTAACAACTTTACCCAAAAGAGCGTGTTTTACATGCAAGAGACGGAGTTTCCCTGAGGCCAGTTTGTTTCTTCTCAGCAGGTTGGGGACCCTTGAGGAAGGTTAGGTGAGTTTCGGAAATGAAGCAACTCCACTTCGTGGTCATCTGGGCTACAGGGCGCACTTTTTGTCTCACCGCAGAAGCAGGTCTCCTGCAGGTGACAGATGACTCGCTCACCCAGCATCTCTTGGGGCGATGGTTTCATAAGAGTCTCTATAGTAAATACCCCTCAGGCCAATACCCCTCCTCTCTGAGGAGAGGCCACGATATCTGATGTGTTGCCTGGGAAAACAGCATGGAGGCCCAGATGGCCAGGCGGCCTGGGGTTCGCCAACCCCACCTCCAGGACATTTTCTGGTCAGAGTGTCCCCAGGTATAGGAGGCCAGGGTGCCAGGGCTGCAAAGGCCCCTACGGGTCCCACCTCAGGGCCCTCCAGCCTCTCACTCCTGCTCACAGGGCCAGGGAAGGCAGTCAGCCCCGACCCCAAAGACCAAGCCTGGCTGGGTGGGTACTCCTCCTGTAAAGCAAAGCCCCAAGTGTGGCCTCAGGGGGGCTGGGGAGAGGGCCTAGCACCTCTGTTCATATAAACGTGAACAAACCACGCGGCCCCTGGTTCCAGCTTGCGCGCACGCACGCGCACACACACACACACACACACACGCTCAAATCTCAGCCCATGACTGCATGAGAGGCTATTCCCCCAGACACAAGATGTAGAACTGGGGTTGCCATTTCTTAGTTGTGTGACCATGGGGAAACCCACTCTCTTGAGGTCTCAGTTTCCTCATCTGAAAAATGGGAGAGTCAGGACCACAGTCCTGTGTCTCAAATCAATGGGGCCAGCTGTGTTTCAGAGTTTCCAATCTGGGGGATTTTAGGAAAGGTCCAGATATTATATATTATGTAACGTCCCCAGAAGCCCTCTTGTAGTGTAAACCGTAAAGCTGGGCTTTTGTTGTTCTTGTTGGTAACGCAAATGCCTGACTTAAGCTTTTTTTTTTTTTGCGGTACGCGGTCCTCTCACTGCCGTGGCCTCTCCCGTCGCGGAGCACAGGCTCCGGACGCGCAGGCCCAGCGCCCATGGCTCACGGGCCCAGCCGCTCCGCGGCACGCGGGATCCTCCTGGACCGGGGCACGAACCCGCGTCCCCTGCATCGGCAGGCGGACCCCCAGCCACTGCGCCACCAGGGAAGCCCCTGACTTAAGCTTTGATTGCTGAGGCATCCTCGACCAAGATGGTGATCTTGAATAAACACATTGCCAGCCCCAGGGTTAAATAAAAAGCCAGCCACCTCCCCTGCTGAGGCTCCTCGGTTTTAGAGATCTTGGTTGATTTTAATCACTGATGATTTGGGACACTTGTTCTCAAGCTTTAAATTTCCCCTCGTATGTTTTAAATTCACCGATAAAAGTGAACCCTGGAACACTTAGGGTCCCCACTCTCCACCCCAGGATAAGCAGAACCCCAGGCCCTGCTACTCTCTCTCCCTCTCTCTCTCTTTCCTCCCTTCCCCACCTTGACCCCCTCCCCTACCCCCCATGTGGCCCAGATGTGTCATATCATTTCCAGGTCCTGTAAGTAATAACCTTTTATTTAATTAATTAATTTATTAAAAAATTTTCTTTTATGTAATTTCCAGGTTCTATAAGTCATAAACCCTTATTTACTTTTAAGTTTTCTGATGATTATTGCTGAAGGGTGTCTTGCAATCATGAGAATGTTGGGGGCCAGTCCAACCACAATATTGGTTATTAGAAACTGAGAGCAGCCCCGAACACCCTCCTTGGTCAAACACTAGGCATATTTCTTCAGGGAAACTTGAATATTCAAATGAAGGGGGAGGCATCAAAACTAGACACTTGCACCAGTGCAGGTCAGGTTCTACCACCAAATGAATTATGAAAAAATGTTTCCATTTTCAGAGCCTTTATGAATTTCATTCACAGTTACAGAAAAGAGGTCTTAGGCTTTAAGGTCACCCACCTCGGAGGGCGGATGACAGCACTCGGAAGGCGGATGACAGCACTCGTGGCAGTGAAGCTGAGCAGGGCCCTGGGGGGCTCCCGGGCACGGAAGCCTTTTTTGTTTCTTGTTTGTAGGGAATAGACCCCAGCCTCCAGTGACCTTCCCTGAGTCCCAAAGGGCAGATTCAAACAGCCGCTAATCAGGGAAGGGAGGGGATGCAGAGACAAGGAAGGGGCAGCTAAGAAACAATAGTGCAGCCTCGGGGCAGGGTCCTCAAGGGATACCTATAACAATACCTTTGAGCTCTTCTATAGAACTAAAACCCCCAACAAATAGAAGAAGTTCTCTTCATTCCAGAGAAGATCACAGTTTGATAACCTGGAAACTCATCAGCAGACCACCTGAGGCCAGATTAAAGGAGTGAAGGCCCTGCGCATGCGCACACCCGGATCCTTATCTGCAGCCCTGCCCTTGAACCACTGCTATAAAACTCCTCACCAGATCCTCCCCGGTTGGGACACACAGCTGTCTTTTTTTGTATTTTTTTGGTTTTTTGCGGTACGCGGGCCTCTCACTGTTGTGGCCTCTCCTGTTGTGGACCACAGGCTCCGGACGCGCAGGCTCAGCGGCCATGGCTCGCGAGCCCAGCCGCTCCGCGGCATGTGGGATCTTCCCGGACCGGGGCACGAACCCGCGTCCCCTGCATTAGCAGGCGGACTCTCAACCACTACGCCACCAGGGAAGCCACGGGACACACAGTTTTGAGGGGCATAAGTGTCCCCCTTTGCCTGGCAAAACAATAAAGTTATTCTTTTCTACTTCACCCAAAACTCTGTCTCTGAGGTTTGATTCAGCACCGGTGCCCAGAGGCTGAGTTTTCGGCATCAGCAGGGGCGTTGATGCCTTTGTTGGGCATTGCTTCCTCGCAGGACGTTCCCTTGCTTGCTCCGGGGCTCCTCAACATAGCTCTCCCTCACAAGGGCTAGTTTAATAAATACCCATTTAACAGATGGGGAATTGAGGCCAAGGGCAGTTGAGGCACTGGCCCACAGTGACAGCACTCCAGGTGGTCTGCTCGACTTGAGTCCTTGCAGGACGTAACCACCCTTGTTCTGCCCTTGGCACAGCTAGGACCAGGAGTGGAGAGACTCAGGCCTGACTTGGATTCAGCTGTCCACTTAGTTGCACGTCTATTAGAGAAAGAAGCAGAAAGGAATGTAGAAGTTCAAGCCATTTCGCAATAAGCGCCAGGGTCTTCCCGAAAGAGCTGCCTTGGGCATTGGCATTTCTGTGCCTGACTCACTGAACTTGGACCCAGTTTTGCAATCAGAGCCTCGGGCCTTTCCCCTAGTGAGAAGAACCAGCTAGAGGCTCTGCACTTCGTCTTTGTCTTCCTGCAGCCCAGACGCTCACAGCCCCCTGCTGGACCAGAGGCCTCCGGAGAGGAGAGAGCAGAAGGCCCTCGGAACCTGAGGCCACAGTGAGAGCTTCACTGAGAACAGGTGGGACAGCACACCCAGGAGGAAGGCTGATTTGGGGCCTCTAGAGGACAATGTGCCCAAGGGGTTGGCCACCTACACTTGGTTTGGGAAAAAGAGCTGTTGTCAGGAACCCCCCAGGGGTTCACATCCCCATCCAGCCAGTTCCTAATGTGAGACTGGGTCTGAAGTTCAGCTTCGTTACTTGATAAATCAGGATAGAAATCTCTCCTTCAGGAGTATTTGAAGTTTAAATAAAAGCATGATTAAGCATATGATTAGACCAACCAAGTTGTGTCTTCCGCTCCATTGGCTGGGGACCCCAGGATCCTAGACAGAGAGAGAGAGAGCCTGGACCCCAGAAAGGAGGAGACGGCATGGGCCAAGGCATTTCCCTAGACGTTCTCGGCAGGACTGGTTTAGGGCTGTCATCTTTGTAGGAAAAATGCTGAATGAGTTGTCTCAAAATTGCAACCTGCAGTGTTTCTTGGGTTGTAGGTTTTTTTAGTGTAGTTTGGGAGTAGGGGGTGTTGGTGATGAAGATTAAGAGGATTATCTAAAGCTGTGTTTCAGAGTAACCGACTTTTCTGACGCTGATGGGGTGCATGAGGGACCTGGTTTGCAGGCAAAGGGGCAGAATACAGTGGAGCTGAAGTCTCCCAAAACTGCAAAGAGAAACTCATAAAAAAAAGCTCTCATATGAGAATAACATCTCTAATCCTCTCCCATCATTTCCAACCCTCTCCCAACATAACATCCTCTGACATCCACTGAGAGAAGGTCAGTAGCGAGGGGATGGAACCTGATGGGACCAAAGGGTTCCCCACTGTCACTATAGCCCTTCATCTGATAAGACTAATATGAAATATGGGGGAAGTTTTAGGGGGTGCTGGTAAAGAATGGGGCTCCCCCAGGGTTTCTCAGCCTCAGTACCACTGACATTTTGGGCTGGACCATTCTTTGCTGTGGGGGCCGTCCTGTGCATTGTAGGGTGTCAAGCATCGCTGGCCTCTACCCACTAGATGCCAGTAGCAGTGCCTCCACCTGAACGTCTACAGGCATTACCAATATCCCCTGGGGAGGAAACACGCCCCTGATTGAGATCTACCATTCTAGACCTGGCTGGGCTCCCCCACTTACCAAGTGCATGTTTTGTAGTGTATTCCTATAATGAAATACTACATAGCAATCTTTTTTTTTTTTTAATTTATTTTTGGCTGCGTTGGGTCTTCGTTGCTGCACGCGGGCTTCCTCTAGTTGCGGTGAGCGGGGGCAACTCTTCGTTGAGGTGCACGGGCTTCTCATTGTGGTGGCCTCTCTTGTTGTGGAGCACGGGCTCTAGGCACATGGGCTTCACTAATTTTGGCACATGGGCTCAGTAGTTGTGGCTCGCAGGCTCTAGAGCGCAGGCTCAGTAGTTGCGGCGCAAGGGCTTAGTTGCTCTGCGGCACGTGGGATCTTCCGGGACCAGGGCTCGAACCCGTGTCCCTTGCATTGGCAGGCAGATTCTTAACCACTGCGCCACCAGAGAAGCCCATGGTAAACATTTTTAAAGCTACTGAACGTTTTTAAAACCACGACAACATGAAAGAATTTCACAGACGTTGTGTGGAGCGAAAGAAACCGAACAAATGACTCAATTGACATGAAGTTCAAGACCAGGCAAACTAATCAATGGTTATGGAAATCAGGATAGTGGTTACCTCCCCCCCGCCCCGGGCCGGGTGCACATTGACCACCAGGGGGTTAAGGGAATCTTCTGTTCTCTATCTTGGTCTGGGAGGTGATGACTCAGGTGTGTAATGTCAGAATGTATTGAGTTGACGACTTCCTTTTGAGTATTTATCCTATATAAGCTCCACCTCAACATAAAATGTAAAAACTGCAGTTTGCAAATATTTTGTACATTGTGTGTTTATTATCATCTTGATTCCGCACCGTCTAAAATCCCTCCATCCTTGAATTTCATATGGTTTCATGGCCCCTGCAGTAAACTTGGTTTCTGTTTCCAACCAGAAAATCCTTTGACGTGTGACGACAGCTCTCATTCTCCCACAGGCAAAATGAACACGGATTTGATGCCGCAGAATCTGCTGGACACCCAGGCAGGGAAAGCATTACGCAAGGCTGGTGTCAGTCTGCAAAGGTAAAACCCAGAGCGCTTTTTCCTTGGGGAAAGGGCTACTTCTGCAGAAATGTTTAGGCAGCCTCATGACACGCGACAGACGTGTTCCAAGGGCATCAGCCATAAAGTATGCCCTGCCCTCCAACTGGTCTCCATTACGTATATATGTCTCCCAGGGGAAAAAATATTCCACTGGCTACATTAAATATTTTGGAGCACGAGTCAAGTTCTTGTCGGGTACATGACATTGGGTAATAGGACTCTGAGGCCAGAAACTGCCCTTTCGGGCCTCACCTCTCTGAGGTTCATGTATCACCAAAAAGACCCTTTAGTGTTACTGCATTCATGAATTTAAGCCCAAGTGTCCATTCATCAGCAGATATAGCATCACCAGCCCAATATGGACAATCAACAAATGTCTGCTGAGGGAATTAGGTGTCACAGAACTCGATTGCAATTTTCACTGTGTCAGGAGGCATCATTACCTAATGCGGGATGCATTTAGTTTAATTTAAAAACACAAGAAGGGAATTCCCTGGCGATCCAGTGGTTAGGACTCGGTGCTCTCACTGCTGGGGCCCTGAGTTTGATCCCTGGTCGGGGAACAAAGATCCCACAAAACACACACACACACACACACACACACACACACACACACACACACGAAGCCAAGCTCCTGTTAGCTACCAACCACGTGAAAGACAAAACTTCACAGTGAATGCAAAGTGGCGTTATTGATCTTTTTTTTTTCCTTTGGAATTTTATTTTATTTATTTTTTTTACAGCAGGTTCTTATTAGTTATCTCTTTTATACATAGTAGTGTATATATGTCAATCCCAATCTCCCAGTTCATCCCACCACCACCACCCCGCTTTCCCCCCCGCGCTGTCGATCTTTGCAGGTACAAATCTCTCTGTTGTTTCTCTTCGTCCCTGCAAACCTGAGGAAGCAGAGAGATCAGGGTGGGCTGCATGGTGGCGTCTGTGAAGCTGGGGGTCTCTCAGCAGGGTTACCCTCCCTGCTGCCATCCGCCCCATCCCCACTGCAAGTCCCGGGGTACTTTTTCCTCTGTCAACTGATTTATGGCTACTGGTTAACTGACAACTGGGCCTAAATTAATTACTTCATTAACACTAAAGGCTTCCTTGGTAGTATATTTGGTTTCTAACCTTTTCCATTGAGGAACTGTGTGTGTGTGTGTGTGTGTGTGTGTGTGTGTGAAGAGAGATTAAAAGGCATGTGTATATATACCTCAGTGAGGAATTCCTCACATCAACTGTCCCGATGAGAGGACAGGGAGCTCTGAGTCCCCATTCAAAGCTGCAGGTCAACCTCACACCTTCTTTTGGGTGAGAGCCCTGCCCCGCTCTGGGCTTCTGTTCCCTCCACAGAAAAGTAAAATAGGAAGCTTAGATCTTCCCTAGGGCTCCTTCCAGCTCTGACACCCTCCTGTGCGCAGGGAATCTGTGTTATCACCAGGCCTCCTCAGCTCGCCCTGAAGGCAATGCACCCGGGGCCCTGGGCACCAGGAAAGTTCCTGAAGGAGAGGGCTTTGTTCTCCCCCGAGACTGCTGTCCCGTGAAAGCCACACTCAGCTGGGCTGGCAAAAATCCCTCAGGACTGCCTACTGTGAGAAGACGGGGGAAGGGGCTGGGTCCTTTTGTTCCTGATTTCTCCCGTGAAGAACCAGTTCTGCTCGAGAGAGCAAGGAGAGCTGGCCAGGTGCCAAGGAGAACATTCAGAGCTTTAGCAGTCATTTCTCTCAGCCCTCTCAGTGTGCAACTCCGGAGGCACAGCAGAGCACTGAATTCAAGTTCATCAAAGTGGAGACTTCCCCGGCGCTCCAATGGTTAAGACTCTGCGCTTCCCCTGCAGGGGGCAAGGGTTGGATCCCTGGTCCGGGGAACTAAGATCCCACAAGCTGAAAAAAAACCAAGGTCATCAAAGTGGGGGATGCATTATACAATATGGTGCCTCTTCCCCCTCACTCACCTCTACGCGTACAGGACTCCCAACCTCCGGCCCAACAGCTGGACTCTGCTTCCTCCTGTTTTTCCCAGCCCTCTCCCTCCCGGCAATTCGTCCCAGGTTCCTTATCTTGACTTGGATCCTTGCATTTCCCACTGCTCCTCCTCGTGACAGTTCCCATAGCCTCTTTGAACAAGGTTGAAAAAGTCCCTCAGCACTAATCCACCTCTTCCATCTCTTGGCCAGGGCTACGTTTCTCCCATTTCCCTCCAGATCCCCCTCTTATGTGCTCTCTTCAGGGAACCAGCAGCTCCCAGCAATGCTCTGGGACTTTTCACAGTTGAGTTAGAGGGAACAGAGATGCTAGGAAGATGCAGGGAGGATTGAAAGTCTGGAGGGGCAAGAACATCCAGAAACCACGTGGGCTTGACTATGAATTTGGCTTTCCCATCCGGGAGACTGAACATCTTTATTTCACTCATCCACAGGGACGAAGATGACATTCTTCCATATGAAGATGTGGAGTGGCAAGATGGTGACCTGTCAGCTGAAGAAAGAATATTTTTGGAAGAGTTTCCCATCTTGAAAGGGGAGCTGGAAGTGCGCATCAGAAAGCTTCATACCCTTGCAGACCAGGTCGACACAACCCACAGAACACTCACCAAGACCAGCATAGTAGCCAATTCCATCGCTGTGGTCTCAGAAGTCATGAGCATCCTGGGCTTGGTCCTCGCTCCGGCAGTAGCAGGAGGAAGCCTGGTACTCTCCGCTGCTGGTAGAGTTTTGGGGAAAGCAGGGGAGGTCACCAGCATCTTGACCAACGTTCTGGAACGCTTTCACAGTCAAGAAGCCCAAGCTTATGTCGGTAGCCTAGTGCCCACCCGTGCCCAAGAGGTCAGGGGAGCTGGGGCAGCCTATGTCTTGGCTGCCGGAAAGGTGGTCCAGGATTGTGAAAGCACCGTCAAGGATATCCGGAAGAGCATCCGTGCCTTTCAGATAGCCAGGGCCAACCCGCGCCTGGCCGCTGCCGCCAAGAATCTCCTGACCACTGGCCAAGTCTCAGCCCGGAAGAGCAGGCAGGTGCAAAGGTCTTTTGAAGGTACCACGCTGGTGATGAAAACAAAGGCTCGCTTGCTGGGTACTGCAATGGCTGGCTTCTCCCTGAGCGTGGTCTTGGCCTCCCTCCTGAAGGACTGGAAACAGCTGAAGGAGGGAACAAAATCAGAGCTTGCGGAAGAGCTAAGGGCGCAGGCTTGGGAGCTGGAAAGGAAGCTGACAGAATTCACCCAGTGCTATGAGAGCCTGCAGCAGAAGGTGAGGCTGTGGTTTCCCTTGTGGGTGGGGCTGGAGGAGGGGGAAGCTTTAACTGGCGCTTATGGGCACCAGGGTTTATGGGAAGGGTGATGAGGAAGCCAGTGTGTGTGTGTGGAGTTTGCATGGATGTTCCCAAGGACATGGGGTGTCTGGTGGCCCTGAAGGTCCAAACGGTATCATGTTCATCTTGGAGATAGTGGCATCAGTCCTGGAGAGACCTGGTCATGCCTTCTGTCTCTCCCTCGGTGCTCCTTGAGGTCCATGTGCTGGGCAGAGGGTCTTCCCAGTTGTACAGAACAGGACACTGAGCCACAGGGAGTGTTATGGACTGAAACGTGTCCCCCTAACATTTATATGTAGAAGCCCTAAGCCCCAAGGTGACTTTTTGGAGATGGGGGTTTGGGGAGGTGATTTGGATTGAATGAGTTTGTAGGGGTGGGGCCATAATCCTAGGGGACTGGTGTCCTTGTAAGAGGAGGAGGAAATACAGAGGGCTCTCTCTTTCTCTGCTGCACTGGCACAGAGGAAAGGCCCTGTGAGGATGAAGCGAGAAGGCAGTGGTCTGCAAGCCAGGGAGAGTCCTCACCGGGAGCTCGATCGGCCAGCACCCGGATCTGAGGCTCGCAGCCTCCAGAACTATGAGAAAATACATTTTTGCTGTTTCATCCCCCAGACTGTGGTGTTCGTCAGCGAGCTTATGCAACTTGCCAAATGCTTGCAACTATGTGGAGGGAGAGTCAGGATGACAGCCCGGGAGCCTGACCTCTGCGCCCGGGCATGGATCTCCACACCATGCTGCCTGGGAGCCTTCTGTAGCTTTCCTTTGATTGGTGTGTGTGTGTGTGTGTTTTCCAGAAACTCTCCCAAGAAAAAAAGCCTGTGAGCTCATCTTCGGAAGGAACCATGGGGACTGTACCTCTGCCACCAGGGAAAGCAGGATCCCAGGGGACAGGAGAGGATGAAGACAATTGAGCCCAGGGGTCTCTGAGTGGAAGAAAAGGGGACCACGGCGGTGGTGGGGCAAGGTTGGCAGAGGCAATGCCTGGAGACTCAGCAGCTGACAGGTCTACAAGGGTGTTGAGGGCACTGTCAGTGGTGAGTGTCACACTGTAAGTTAAGGGAGGTCAGCCTGTCCCATCCCTCCCTCCTTCATGTGTGTAACTCATTTCCTGGACCCCTTCACCGCCCCTGCTCCCTCCCTCGCATGCAGAGTCAGCCCATGTGAAACGTGTATTATTTGACCCCAGGCCCTGTATTAAGTGCTGACACCAGATGGAAGGGCTCTGGGAATGAAGGGTATGCTGGGTTCTCTCTTTTGTATCAACTCAGCTTGTGTTGGCCCTCTGTCCTCCCCCTCCCCGACCTGGGCAGTAATCGCTGGAGAAGATCCTGGGTTTGCACATAAAAGGATGTCACCGCAACCTGCTCGGCCTGATTCCCATCAGGAAGGAGCCCCTCCATCCTCCCCACAACAGAAGTTCTTGGGCTCCTCAAGACACAGGAACCTGTAGGAACTCTCCTGGCTTCCCCGTTCACCCATCTTACACCTATTTTTTTCTTTTCTATGTTTCAGCTGCTATTTTAAAAGTAGTGTATGGACATTCAGTACAACTTTTTAAAATACAGGAAACTAAAGAATAGGGGGAAAGGGGCTTCCCTGGTGGCGCAGTGGTTGAGAGTTCGCCTGCCGATGCAGGGGACACGAGTTCGTGCCCCGGTCCGGGAGGATCCCATATGCTGCGGAGCGGCTGGGCCCGTGAGCCATGGCCGCTGAGCCTGCGCGTCCGGAGCCTGTGCTCCGCAACGGGAGAGGCCACAACAGTGAGAGGGTGCTGGTATTTTGGTGGAGAATTTTCTTTCTGTGTTTTTCTTGCTTTGGACAGTACTGCCTGCTGGGGACCCTCTCTCAAGGCTACATTGTAGAGTAGATTTTTTTTCTGTAACTCACTGAGTTTTCTTTCTCTTGCATTCTCAACTCCCTCATTTGCCTACAGATCTATAACTTTCCATTTTGTTGTTTTCACTTAGCAATGTTTTCTACCCTTCCATGTTTCACAGAGTTTTTATAGACATTACTTTTCCATGTTGCAAAATATTCTCTTGACTGTACCTACAACGCTTTAATTAGACATACATTAGTCATCATTTTGTTAAGTGGCCAAAACCAATTCAAACTGGCCTATGAAAAAGAGAGGAATTTATTGGCTCATGTACTTAAAAAGCTTAGGGGAACAGTGGGCTTCAGGTGCGTGTGGATCCAGAGGCTAAAAATGATGTCATCAAGCATCTGTCTTTCCATTTCTCAGACAGACTTCCGCCACATTCAGGCACCGTGGCCTCAGCACCTCCAGGTGTGCCTGCTGCCAGCTGGGGGACTCCCACATGGAAAGGGGCGGGGCAAAAGTCCAGGGACCCACTCTGACTGGTCAGGACTGGGTCATGTGCCCTTGCTGGTGCTGGTTTCTAGGATGGGCTATGGGAACTCTCTTATGATCTAGGGGTTTTAAGTAGTCACCCCAGGCCGTGTGGTTCCCGCTTCTGTTGCTGTTATAATATTTTCACGAGCATAACAGTAAGTAAACAGCTTTCGCCCCATTTAATGTTGTTCTTTTAGTGTGCGTGAGCATCCTTAAAGTTCCGAATAAACATTGTCAGTAATAATACCTGCACAGGGACTTCCCTGGTGGTCCAGTGGTTAAGAATCTGCCTTCCAACGCAGGGGACGCAGGTTTGATCCCTGGTCAGGGAACTAAGATCCCACATGCCATGGGGCAACTAAGCCTACACGCTGCAACTACTGAGCCCATGGGCTCTGGAGCCCACGTGCCACAACTAGAGAAGCCTGCATGCCGCAACAAAGAGCCCACTCGCCACAATGAAAGATCCCGCATGCTGCAATGAAGATCCAATGCAGCCAAATAAATAAATATTCTTTTTAAATTAACAAATAAAAAAAATAATACCTGCACAAAATACGTAGTCATGAAGCTTGGGGTTTTGTTTGTTTTGTGGAAAGTTTTGAAGAAAAAAAGAAAAGAAGGGATCAGAATGGAAACTCAAGACTCATCTCTGACACTTATTTGCCTGGTCCCATTTCTGAGTTTTGGTTTCTTCAGCCACAAAATAAGTGTAGCCTGAATAAAATCCAGGACTCCTTCTGGGTGTAGATTTGCAGCACCGGGCTCACAGCAATCTGGGAGAAAATACCCTTGACAGAAACTTGAAGAATCCTTACTAATGCTCTGAGCCAGCACCAGAGGGGGTGGGAGAGGCTCAGCTTTCCCTTGTCACCTGCTTCTCTGGTTCCCAGATTCTTCCACAGGGGCAGAAGCTTCTGGAAAAAAGACTTTCCTCTTGCTCCCTCTCTCTGGCCCATACTTCCTGCCTCACAGCCCAAGCAGCTCCTCTGCTCTCTTCCTCCCTGAAATGCTTTCAGCACCCAGCTGCTTCCCTATCAGGATCTACTTCCTGGAAGCACGCTCTTCTCCATCACCTGGAATTCTGGTGAACAAACACCTTCCCCTCCTTTCATCTCCCCACTAGTTAAGTCTTTGCCCTCCTGGCCAAGAGAAGCCCATCAGCTCCCCGTGTTACTCAGGGCAACCCCACACCCACCACTGTCTTCCTCTCTCTTCTGGGTTACGTGGGGTTCTTCCTGAGTGCCCCCGAGGTGGTGCAAGGCCCTCCATCACAGTCAGTCAGGAGTTCTTTTGGCTTTTCTGTGCATGGGTGAGCAGACCCAAGTCTGGTTCCTTCCGTTACTTCCTAACCTTCTAAAAATTAAAAGAAATCAAAATCTTTTAAAGTCCAAAAGAATCAAAGACCAAAATCAAATTCTCTTCTAGAGTCCAATGCAGTTTTTAAAATCAAGAAATCATCCTCCCCAAAGTCTTATTTTGGCCAGTTTCAGCGAATGGCATTCTTTTATTTAAGTTCTTTAATTTAGGAGTAATTTCAAACATACAGAAGAGTTCAAGAATAGTAGAAAGAACTCCCATACGTATCCTTTCACCCAGATTCACAACCATGAACATTTTGTCCCTGTGCCAGTTATCAACGTGTTACTTCTCCGCTCCAAATCCACCCTTAAGGGCACTGCCTGGGACCCAGCGCTGGACCCTCTTGACTGTCCTCCTCTGACAGCTAGCTCTGGGTTAAGCGTTGTCAGTAGAGGGCACACTGCAGGGGAAGGCGTGTGGCCTCTTTCCTTATCCCAGTGGAGCTCAGTCATCAGGTGGACAGCCAGTGAGCTCAACATCAGCCCCAGAGACAACTTCCTATGAGCTCCAAGGATGCCCCAAGTTCAAGATCAGCCCCAGAGGCAATTTCCTGTGAGTTCCCCAAATGCCACAGCCAGCTTCCCAGCTGAGGCTTTCCCTGAAGGTGGCTTCTGCCCAGTTGGATTCCCAGTGTGGTCAACAACAGCCCCCTCTACCTTGTGAGTTTTTGTCTGCCCTCCAATGGGCAGGAATGAGGTGCCCATTCCAGTTTCTCATGCATTTTTCTATTGGACTATTTGTCTTTTTTAAATGGACTTGTTGGAGTTCTTCAAACTTTCTGGATACGGGCCTTGTGATCGTCAGGGGACCATGCAGAAATGAAAATGGAGGTGGAGGCTGGAAATAGGGGTCACGTCAAGTGGACCATAGGGGTCATAGTAAAAAGCCTGGACTTGGACTTGAAAGCCAGGGGCATCCTGAGAAGCATTTCTTGCCACTGAGTTTCTTGCCAAGTTTGATCTAGGACTGGCAACGGCAGAGCTTCCTGGGAGTTTGGTTAGAAATGCAGAATTTCAGGCATCTGAAACTGAATCAGCCATCGGACAAGATCCCTGGGGACTTGTGTGTACATTAAGTCTGAGAAGTGCTGCTCTATGAGGAAGCTGCAGCATCACTGCAGCTGAAAGGGAGGAAAGGGGCAGAGCTGTCCTCGGACATGGTTCTGGTCCAAGGTAAATACACTCTTTCCTCTGACCTGTTCACTATCTGAGCCCTTTTCCTGATGAGAAGGCCAAAATATGTAGGCACCTCCCCTGACCTGGTGATAAGCAGCTATTTTTTTCCTGAGAGCTCTGTCCACTGCCCAGGCAACACTGCAGATGGTGGTCAGCTGTGGCTCAGACCCTTGGAAACACAGCTCAAAGCTGTCTCATCACATCTGCCTCACTTTCCAAAGTTAGAGATGTGTCTTGAAGTTGTGGGGACCCAGCATAGAAGCAAAACGTGCACCAACCTGCATGCACGCGCTGCGCTCACCGGGAGAGATGCCTGGGTGAGTACATTCCCCGCACTGAGCCGGTCTTTCCTTGGCTGTGAGATGTGAGGAACGTAAACGCACTGACCTTACATGTTGTTTGGAGCAACATGGAAGAAAATGGATGTAAAGTCCCTTATTTTGTCCTTAATAATGTGCCAGTCAAAATACTTGTTTGTATGGTGACCGCTGTGAGTGGTGGAAGCAAAAGAGATTTGTATCCTCTCTCTTGCTTATCTGAAGTGTCGGCACCTCTTATAACGACCATGTAAAAGGTAAATAGGTTTTGAACACAAAGCTGAAAGATAAAACCATTGTCAGTTTCCAGATGAATTCTAAGAAGTAAATCTAAGCTATCATGAGTCAAAACATCTTTTCTTCTATAATCCTGAGAACTAATAGCACGCCAAAAATTATCCTGGAAAAGGAAAATTACGAAATTATCACACGCACACCCACTTGCAGACCCTCTGAAGATTTCTCTCCTGGCAGCTTCTGTAGCTGCTGCTCGGTTGTTCTTGTGCTGAGGGTTATTATGGAAATTTTTTTTTTTTTTGCATTTTATGTTTAGATATTTGTTCTGTTCACATTTCTCAGTTTTCTTCTCTGGGGATTCCAATGAGTGTACGTTGGAGTTTTGCCTTTAGTTCATGTATTTTTGCCAAACCTTCTTAGCATTTCATTTTCACTTCATTTTGCTTACTTTTCTCATCTCTGTCTTTGGTGTTGCTTAGTTGTTGTTTTTTTTTAAGTAGTGTCTCTTCTTGTATGAATTCCAGTAAGCATTTGCTTCTGTGACAGATTTACTTTTCTCTTCTTTTCTTTCCTAAGCTCTACCAGTTTCCAGTGAATTCCTCCTGTTGTCTAGCTGTGATTCCCTTGAGCCCTCAGATCTCTGTTTTACAACCTTGCGTTGTAGAGGAAATTGCTTCACTAACTTTAAGAAAATTAATTGCAAAATAATTGTTCATGATTTTCATCAGCTTTTTGGCTTCACTTTTCTGGTGTGTGCTCTTGATCTGCTGTTTGTTTTTGTTGTGGTTGTTACTATCTTCCTTTTTGTCTTGTAATTTTTTTATTGTGGTAAAATATATATCACGTAAAATTGATCATTTCATCAGTGGCATTAAGCAACTTTATATTGCTGGGCAACCATCACCCACCACCCATCTTCAGAACATTTTCGCCTTCTCAAACTGAAACTCTGTCCCCATTAAACACTAGCTCCCCTTTCTCCCTGCCCCTCAGCCCCTGGAAACCACCCTTCTACTTTATATCTTTATACATTTGAATATATATATATTTTTTGGTCACACCACATGGCACGCAGAATTTTAGTTCCCCGACCAGGGATTGAACCCAGGCCCCCCGGCAGTGGAAGAGCAGAGTCCTAACCACTGGATCGCCAGGGAAGCCCCTAACTTTGACTGTTCTAGGAGCCTCAGATAAATGGA